GTACCGGTCATTTCCTAAATCTCCTTCTTTGCATACTCTAGCGCCTGTGTCTCACCCTTTCACCCCTTTACTTCATCCTGACGCACCTTAACCACTTCGGAGCGGCGCTCCCCGGCCGCGACACCTCGCCCACGGCCGCCACACCTCGCCCACGGCCGCCACACCTCGCCCACGGCCGCGACACCTCGCCCACGGCCGCCACACCTCGCCCACGGCCGCGACACCTCGCCCACGGCCGCCACACCTCGCCCACGGTCGCGACACCTCGCCCACCGGCCGCCACACCTCGCCCACGGCCGCCACACCTCGCCCACGGCCGCCACACCTCGCCCACCGGCCGCCACACCTCGCCCACGGCCGCCACACCTCGCCACGGCGGCGCTCACGGTCCGCAGGGCGGCTGCGCTGTGCGTGGACCACGAGTCCGTTCCGCTCTCGTGTGGTGAGGAGAGCTCGAAAGCACTGAAAGCTTGTTCTACTTTGCAGGCAGCTTTGCTCGTCATGTGAATCAGAATAGGTAACGTATACATACATGTTTTCATGACGTTATTTTTAAATGTTCACAATTTTATTTCAATAAACGAAAAGTTAGAAAAAGTCATCCGTGGCCGTCGCCTACAGTCGACGCTGGTCCCGAGGTGGTTAAGAGATCTCGTGCCCCAACGGGCTTGTCACTTGTGCTTCAGGCACCTGGGACCCGGCGGGTTCTGGGGACGTTTTATGGAAAGCGTCTTAAGCAGAAGGAAGCAAGTCTGTGGGGACCCGTGAAGTCCGCTCAGGCCCCATCCCGAGAGTGGCGTTAGGCTCCCGCCAGACGCCGTGGCGTGGGGAGGGGGCCCGGCATGGCCAGGGCCAGCCGAGGGGCCTCAGAGAGGATCTCACAGGGACAGCTAAAGGGAGCCGAACACGCTTGGCACCGCTGTGGTCCTGTGGCCTCTCCGTGTTGAAGATGCTTGTCCGGGAGGGGCTCACCTGGCTCCAGGACCTCCTGCCCGTTTTCTTGCCTTATCTAAAGATAATTCCACGTTCTACCTACCAAGTTTTAAGATAGGAAACGAGGGTTGCTTGAAAGTAGCTAGTAAAATATGAAGCCTGAAGAAGTCTCCACTGAAGTTTTCTCCTTCAGGAATATGCTAAAAAAAAAAAAAAAAAATGTGATTAACTTCCTCGTGGGTGCACGTTGAGAAATTCCATCTCACCTAACTAGACAGGTCTCATCATCACGGCACAACATTTAGTTCAAATAAAGTAGTGACGCACACATTCTACAGGGACCTAGTGACGTGGCTTTATTACCGAATGGCATCTAAAACATGGACACTGTTCTTCCACAGGATTCTGTGTGTTTAAATAAGTGACGCATGTGTAAGTACGAAATAGCTCATTTTCATAGAAACAAGCTCAAAAATAAGTGAATTTTACCAAAGGAAACTATAATTCTTATGTAGTATTAAAAAAAGAGAAGTGCTTTCTTTTCCCACTGTGAAAAACTCTCTGAAGTTGGGCTGGCCCATTATAGAGAGCAAAGTAGATAATTCTGTTTAATTTTGGTAAAATAGTCATATTTCAAGCTGAGATTCTTCTTAATGATGTACATCTAAAGTAAAGTTACCGACACAGAGAGCAACACTAATTCATTAATTTAGAAATAAAACTTGGTATTTAGCCCTTTAAAAAAAATCATAATGTCTTCAAAGAAAATATAAAGATTTCCAAAGAGGCCCGGCTGTGGGCCCCTAATGAAGGTAGCACGGCAACCCTGGGCCTTGTTTACGTACTCACTTGGTCATAGTCTTCAAAGGCTACAAAGAAAATATTGGAAGAAGTTTCAAAATTCTTAAACAGTTCTGACCCCGATAATTTATAATCTAGAATGTCAGAAGAAATAAGTCCCCGAATGTTCCCTAGAAAGTAAATCTTCCTTGAGTTGGCAGCTTGATTCCTATCTCAGATAAATTGACTATACCATTCTAACCCTTGCTTTATGAGAAATATAAACTTTTTAAAAAGCTTATACACTTCATGTACAATACAAATGAATTCAGTGGTGTTTATATGCTAGAGTGAGATATTCAGACAAATAAAATAGACAATTATTTCACCCTTTTTTATTACTCTAAGTGGAATGTTCATTTATTAGTGAAATAAAATATTATAAATATTCAGGCTTAAACGTGGATTTCTATAAGTTTCTCTACATAAATGAATTACGACTTACTCATTTTACAATTCCAACTTTTCCTATCTCTAAAACAAAATTATTAGTGTCTTGATATTTAAAATTAATACTATAGAAATAATTCTCTGAGCAAAGAAAATAAATCTTTGAAGACCTGGATTTTCGGTGCAGGATATTTTTTTAATCCAAGCTATATACATTTCCTTTCTGGATGAACACTGACTAAAAACAAACTTGAAAAGGTATATGTTTTATTCTACCTATTTATGCTTGTATTTTATTATTGGGTAACACAGAATAGTAAATTTCATGGGAACGATTTGTATATTCTCTCGGCTAATTTTGTTCTACTGAAACATTTTTAAATAGACGTATTTGAATGCCTTTCATCGCCTCATTGCAGAATGCAGAGTAACCACCAGGTTGCGCTAAAGCCTTTGTAATGGTTTCACTCTGATGGTGGGGGGGTTTCTAAATACTACAGCTTAAACCTGTCTATGTCGACAAACCATATAGTACGGTCATTCCTGCTTTCATCATGTTAATAGGTTTTCATGTGTATGCTGCCATTTGACATCCCTGGAACTATTCACATCTCCTAAGAACAGTACTTCCATGATAAATCAATCGTATTCTTTCTGTGGAAAATGATTTTTTTCCTATTTTTCCTATTCTATACAATCTTTCCAAGGTGGATCAGCCTGGGGTCTCCACTTACTCCCTACAGAAATCCACTCCTAGCTCACTGCTGACAGTGGGCACCCCTGGAAGTGAACACCTACAGAGTGAGAGCTTCTACATTAGATCTCTTATGTCTAGTCTTGCCAGCAATATCCCTTTCTCTGTCCCAGGTAACACTAGCTCCTTTCTAAGAAAAAATAAATTATATATACATATATATAAATTTATATGTATCGTGTTTCCTGAAAACAAGACAGGGTCTTATATTTATTTTTCCTCGAGAAGACACCCTAGGGCTTATTTTTAGGGGACGTGTTATTTTATCCTCAAAACCTCAGCTTGCAGCACGCACAGGACGGCCGGGACCTGGCAGGGGGAGCCGGCCTTGTTGGTGGGGCTGCCCCCACCTTTCCAGTCACCTCTGGGATAGTAGCTGTCACGATGGGGCAGATGAGAAGGGCTGCTCGTGCTCTTTCCCGCTCTTTCCCGTCTGCATGGGTTGTGCAGACCCACATGGGTTGTGCAGACGCTGCGTAGCCACGCCCGTCACTAGGGCTTATTTTCAGGGTGGGGCTTCTATTGCGCAAATGCTTAGAAATCCTAGTAGGGCTTATTTTAGGGGTAGGTGTTATTTTCGGGGAAACACGGTATATACTGTGTGTGTGTGTGTGTGTGTGTGTGTGTGTGTGTGTGTGTGTGCCTCCAGCTTAGGTCATTTTTTTCTTTGCCCCAAATTAGAACATTGTTATAAAAACTTTATGTATTTAACAAATATAGAAATATGTAAATATATCCCTTGAAGTTTATTTATGCAATGTACTTCTGGCTACTTGGAAGACTCAATCAAGAGTCTTCTCTGCCTAAATAATGAGGGCCCTATCAGATGGCAGATTGAGCTCATGAAAGCGCAGGTACCCCGGCACCCTCACTGAATACAGTCTGAAACAAAAGAATTAATTGGGGTAGAACTAAGTAACAAAACATAGTGGTAAATTAAATACGTCTTCCGAAAAGATAATTTAAGAAATATAGATTTTAGAAAAATAAGTATGCATAAATAAGTATGCGTGTTTGGGATTGTAAAAGTTTGAGACTGTTACAATCACTCTTGCTAGCTTCTTACTGGAAGTCATCCCTGTCTTCATGTCAGTTGTGGTCTTGTTTTCGTACAGTCTTTTCCTTGGGCCCCACGCTTATCTCTGCTGGGCGGATCATCTTCGAGGTTATGCCTCCAAAAATGCTGACTCCAAGGTCTCCCCGGACCACTCAAGAGCTGGAGCTTGCAAACTCAAATATTTATCTTCAGGGGTTAGGAAAATAACAGAAATTAATGGATAAGGTTGGTAAAATGCTAAGTAGTGGCAACTTCAAAAACATGGAAAACACATACTCCGCTCAAAAACACCCAAATTCAATTATTTTGAAAACATGGGTCTGGCCGGACAAAACTTACCAGCAGTCTGAATATTGGCCATCGGTGCTACATTTTCCCATCTTGTTCCCATTGTATGAAACTGCTGCTATTGGGCTGCTGGGCTGCTTCTCCTCCTCTGTCTTTGCCATTGTACAATGTAACTTCCTGTGTTTGTACACTGCAAGGAGGAGGAGGAGGAGGGGGAGAAGAGTGTCTCCTTTTCCATATAGGGAAACAATGACCTCTCTTGCTACTTTACACTCAGCACTGGAAATACCTCTTTCATCTGTGCTGGGCTCAGTTTCTCCACTGGACAGTTTCCTGGGCTACTTAACTTTGGCACTTGCTTATATCCAGTTCTCTAACTGCACGGCTCCCTGCCTCCAGGGGTGACTATCTCAGGAGATCTCAAACTCTCCCTGAAGGCCTAGCTTCCCAGCCAGGTGAGCTGGAGGCCTTCGCATACCTTGAGGTTGGTCCCCATACTTCCCCCAGGGCCCCGAAGCCAGAGGAACTTAGAGTCTGGTCGCCTGCGGGGAGGGATCTAAGACGCCTCATGCAAGAACCACATCTTCCCCACTTTACTCTTTCCTCCAGCGAGCCCTTTGACCACTTTCATTTCCTCGGGGCTCACGAGCTGAGCGAGTTGGGAACTGGTGCCTTCGCCAGAGAAGGCGGCTCCTCAGCCCCGCGGGGCGCCAGCGCTGCAGCGGCGGGTCTGTGGTCTGCAAAGCATCCTAACAGTGTCCATCTGGGTCTGTCCCCGTGACCTGCACTGACGGCAGGCTCCCATTGCGTGTCTGTGGCCTCCTCCGTGCACAGACCCCAGCCTGTGCTGCAGAGCCCGTGGCTCTTCGCTCCGTGCCCACAAGGACCATTTGTACCACCCTCAGGCCATGAGGGGAAGGGAATTGTCGCCAAGAAGAATGTGCCCCAGAGAGGCCGATCATTGTCTCTAAGGTCCCTTTTCCTTTTTCACCTGTGTTCTCCCTCTCCCCACAGCTTCACGGTAAGAGGTGAAAAATAGCCTTAATTTTTATACAGACACCTTTTCTCGTTTTTCGAACCGCTGCAGTCCCGGGAGAGGACAATTCTTTTTATCCGTTGTAATAAGTACTTTACGCTTTCCCTGGACGCGCTGTTTGTGACTAGTGTTTGAACCAACTGATTTCACGGCTTGGGCTTTGGACCTCTTAATGTTTTGTGTTTGTAACTTTTCTGTCCCTTGATTTGGGGTTTTAATTCGCTGTCCTGATGCTTTGCCCGTTGTCCTTACTCAGCTAAAGCTTTGCTGCTTTCCTCCTGCCTCCGCGCTCCAGCACTGCCTGCCTGCCTAGCTGACTTTCTGCCTTGGGGGGCTGCATCCCAGCTCTGTTACTGCCTTCTTGAATTGCCTCCATTTTTTTTTTTTTTTTTTTGCCTACTCTGACCCTTCCTTATTGGGTGACCTCTCACCACGTTCTGGTTTCCCAGTCTCAGCACCTGCCTTGAACTAGAGTTTGCCCCAGAATTATCCCTGGAGCATTTCAACGAGCATAAGAAGAGAACAGCTCTCTCACCCATGTGGGTTTTCCTTCCGAGAAAATACATTTTGCTTGAAGGCAAAACACCGTATCTTGTTCTCTTGTCCTGCCTGGCCCGCCCTCTCCCCTCAGGAACCAGGGCGAGCCTGACTCCTGCTCCCCCTCTCCTTCCTCGCGGAGGCTCCCGAGGCCCCGCCGCGGCCCGGCCCGCGCTGCCCAGGAGACCGCTCGTGTTGATGCACCTCGGGATGAGCAGGCCGCGCAGGTGGCATGACATCCATTAAGTCGCGTGAAACAGACGGAGACTCTACCTTATTAGACTTCCTTTGAAAATGGGGATATAACTGTTCAGTTCCCCTCAGAACATATTATGCCCAAATAATAGGCTTTTTAAAAATGAAGGCAAACATTTTAAGTATTTAATTACAGTTTTCAAGGCACACTGATCTTTTCCTCTTGTGTGTTCGAGCCTCCTTTTCTAGCCGTGTTACCGCCGAACCTCGTGATTGATTGTTAGAGAAATTGCCTGACTTTACCTTCACCTTCGGCTAAAAAATATAAATAAATAAAGAGCTACTTAACTCTTTGCATAGATTTTTCTTTTACCCTAAGTAGTGTATTGACTAGCTTTTTACCCAAAAGAAGCCCACAAAGGGAGTGACAAGGGGAAAAACACACACACACACACACACAAAAGCCTATTAGTTTTGTCTGTGTTGAGAACTCAAAACTAATTAATGAGATGAAATCAAGTTCTATGTATTAATCTCCCAAGCTAAATATACCGCATACAGAGTAAATTCAGACATCTCCCCTCCACCGAGTTTATTTAAGGTTCTTTGGCAGGAACTGGTGCTGGAATAGGCAGCCTCTTGGATCTTTCTACTCGCAATCCGATACCTAATGGTTTTCCTCTTGGCTGAGAAGCTTCACAAACAGAAGTGAGCGGCTGGTCACGTGACCCGGGCCCTCCTGGCGCCGCAGTCTTTGGAAGGGAGGGGTGACGGCGGTCAAGGGACGGAGCCTGCTGCGTTTGAGATGTGCCAGGCAGCAAACACGGCCCGTCTGAGAAGGGTAAGGCCATGTCCTCAGAGTTCAGGCATGACCTCTGAGAGCGGGCTGAGCTCGGCTACCCAGTGCTGGCTGAGGTGGCTGCCTCCAAACTCCTGGGCGCGCTCTGGTGCACGGCAGATGCAGGGGTAGGTGACTGCTGGGGAGTTAAAAGCTTCAGCCTGGTTTTATCAACGCAATTTGGTAACATAATTTGGGGAAAGTTCTGAGCTTCATGCTTTTCATCTCTAAAATTGAGATAACATTAAGAAGTTACCATTTATTGAAAGCAATAAATAAGCCAAGCTTGCACTGTGTTAAGTACTTTACATTTTCTCACGTACTTTTTCTTTTTTAATTTCTAAGTATTATGGGGGTACAAATGGTTTCGGTTACATGGATCGCTTTTATAATGCTTGAATCATAGTTATAAGTGTGCAGATCACTCGGATCGTGTGCATTGCACCTGCTAGGTAGGTTTTTGCCCATCTATCCCGTCCTCCCCCCCCCATCCCCCTGCTTGATTTATGTTGAGTTTTACTTCCCTCTATACACATGTGTGCCCGTCCATTAATTCCAATTTAAGAGTGAGCACCTGTGGGGTGTGTTTTTTCCACTCTTTAGATCCTTCAGTTAAGATAACGGTGCCCAGACCCCCTCGCTTACTCTTAAATGGACAAGCAACGGAGCGGGGGAGTTCGGTTGGGGGCCTATGTTCTGACCTCTCTAGACCCCAGATTTCTTTTTGATAACCTGGAAATCATGAGAGTTCTTACCTGCTAGGGTTGTCGTGAAGATTACCTGAGAAAACGTGCGAAAACGTGTACAAGGGTGTCTGACCCCTGACAAGAGCTCAGTGGAGGGTGGTGTTATCAACAGTCCTCGGAAGGCAGCTGTTGTTCCCACATCAATGACGTAGACACGTGTACCAGTAACAGTTGCTGAGGAGCAGATCTGGGATTCAAGTTTAGGTCCATTGGCTCTTAAATCTTAGCTCAAACCACCAGGCTAATAAAAATTCCTGTTGCCGGAATCCTCTCATTCCTTTGGCCTCTTTCCCCGCCCAGCCTGCCTTCGCGGGGCCCACTGGTCTCCAAGGATCACACCGACACCCGTCTACTCATCCAGTTCCCAGACCAGCCCTGACTCGAGAAAGGAAGTTCCAAACCAGACTCAGCTTCTCCATCCTCTGGGGCTGGGCCCTGAGTCACCCTTCCTGTTACTGTGAACTCAGGACAAAGAGTCCCAGCCCGGCCGCAGAGCCCTGTGCTGTTCCGCGAGGAATGTCCCCACCGCAGGCTCCCGGGAAGAAGGGGGCCTCCGAGCCTGCCTCTTGCTCCCAGCCCTGCAGGGGACTCCGCAGGCTTCCCCTCCCGTCTCCACGCCCTGCCGCTCGCAGAACCAGGCTCTGCCCGCCGCCACGCGCCTGCTGCGACCAGCGCTTTGCAGACATCCCTCCTGACATTCGGGTCCCTTCATTATTGGTGCCTCAAATGCACATTGAGGAAACAGACACGCAGCGTGCCCAGGTCACACACCCGCGCACCTCCGCAGCGGTAACGAGCTGGTGCGTGTATGATTCATCAGCGTATCTAAACTACCGAGACCCGGCGTGTCTGGAGACGGGCCTCACGTCGCGAGCGCACGTGGAAGCAGAGGAGCGCGGCTCCCTGCTGATGGCGCCGGGCAGCAGGTGCCACCTGGACGCCGCCTGGTCTCCTGGCCTCTGCCCTCTTCCCGCTGGCCGTGCCCGCTGGAAGAAGGCCGGGCGGCACGGCCTCTGTTTGCGCCCACAGGAAGATCGGGATTCCAAGGTCACTATAAAGAGAGAAAGCTGAAACTGGGGTCAGCGCGCACTTTCTGGCACAGCACTTCACAGCGTGTCGTGGGCGCCACGGGCGCCGGGACACGAGGGCGCTTAGATCCGTCCACAGACACTGAGCTAACGCCGGGGACAGACGCACCGAGGGACCCTGGCGCCACAGATCTGGAAACCTCGCCGACTCCTGAAAACAAGGAACGAGCAGCCGCAGTCGCAGCGATTCCCCGGGATCCGCCAGGCTGCGCCTGTGCAGGCGATCACAGAGGAGCCTGCGTCTACGCCGCCTGCGTCTACACCGCCTGCGTCTACACCGCCTGCGTCTACGCTGCCTGCCTCTACGCGGCAGAGCCTGTGTCTATGCCCTGAGCCTGCGTCTACACCGCCGAGCCTGGGTCTACGCCGCAGAGCCTGCGTCTACGCCCTGAGCCTGTGTCTACGCCCTGAGACTGCGTCTACGCCCTGAGCCTGTGTCTACGCCCTGAGACTGCGTCTACACCGCCGAGCCTGGGTCTACGCCGCAGAGCCTGGGTCTACGCCCTGAGCCTGTGTCTACGCCCTGAGACTGCGTCTACACCACCGAAGCGGGTCACGCCGCCGAGCCTGCGTCTACGCCGCTGAGCGAGACGCAAACGGTCACAGGGATTCTGAACTCGGGAGATTTCACCCTTAGCTGTGCTGCCGGTCATGCGGTTTGTATCTGTGTCATTTCTTCTAGACTGGGGCCAAAAAAAAAACCAAGGCCCTCCTCCCCACAGTCCTGTGTCCGGGCAGCTCCACGGCGCAGCCTGGCGACTGTCCGGCGTGCAGGGAAGGGCCTGCGGTGGGCAAGCGTCCGCCGCGCTCCGGCCTTCTCTGCGGCCGGCGGGGGCGCCTTGCGCGCGGTGCTCCGCGTCCGCGTGCGAGGCGGGCCGGGCTGGCCTGACGCGGGTTTAGGGTCTGAATGACCCTCTGTGGCCGCGGCCCGGCGCTGGCACCGCCCGCTGCGCCCAGGTCCAGGCATAACAGCCCGCCCTGCGCCCGCCCGGTGCGCCCGGGCGCATGTGGGTGTTTGCACAGGGCCTGGCTCCTGCCGGCCCAGCGCCGCGCTTCTCTGAGAACTGGAACTTCCCCAAATTTCCCCCCATATTAAAAGAACCAACAAACTGTATTACAAAAACAAACAGAGTTTGTTTTCCTTTTAACAAATAAAAACTAATTTATGCTGAAGCTTTGTTGCTCTGAGTCAGGCCGAGGCCGCAGGGCCACGGCCAGCGCCTCTCTGTGCGAACTCCTCAAGTTTGTCAGCCCGAGCCCTTGCTGGAAAAAGTATAGGGTTTGCAAGCCACTAATTGGCCTAAAATGCTCCTCTATTTTATATAAACACACAGCACAGTATCAAAAATAGAGTTGCATTCATTAGCCTAAAAATCCAGCTTCCCATGTGAAGCCTTTTTTTATACCCCTCAAGATTTAGGTTTGCCCGCGCCGTCAAAGGAAAACTTGGTTTTTAGACTCGTACTCTGTAATTTCCACACACACACACACACACAAAGAAATGGATGGCTTTGATTTCTATTTTTGCCCATTAACGTATTTTATAAGCCGTAAGGCAGAAAACGAACTCTTCCTCTCAACTATTCAGTGCTGATATTAGGAAAAGTAAATCTGAAATTAGCAAAACCACGGCGATACCAGCAATGGCAATAGTAATACAGGTATGCCTCATTTTATTCTGTGTTTCTTTATTGTGCTTTGCAACTATTGCATTTTTTAATAAACAGAAGGTTTGGTTTTGCGGTGACCTGTATGGAGCAAATCTCCGGCCCCCTTTTCCCAATAGCATGTGTTCACTTCAAGTCTCGGTGTCAGCAGTTTTTAGCAATAAATTATTTTTTAATTAAGGCATGCACTTTTTTTTTTCAGACATAACGCTTTTGTACACTAACTATAGTGCAGTGTAAACATAACTTTTATATGCGACGGGAAGGCAGAATAATCGAGACTCACTTTATTGGGTTGGCCTGGAACAGAACACGCAAGGTCTCTGAGGTATACCTGCGAAAGGAAAACAGATCTGTCACTATGGATCCTGCTGCAGATTGGCGATTGATTCAATCTCGGCCACATTTTGCAAAGCTACTGGTTTGCCATCCCTTGTAATTCTCAGTCTTGAGTCCACTCAGCCCCCTGGTCACTCTAAGCAGATGACTCCTCCTTCTGCTTAGCTGAGGACAAGAAGATTCAGTGTACTCCCTTGGCAGGCGTTTTTCTAACTTGAAATCCCTCCTCATCGTAATTCCCTCGGGCCCCTTCCTTCCTCTCAGTGTGACGTCTTGCTTCTCCTTCCTTCTCTACGGCGATGTCTCTGTGCTCGTGCTCTTGGTACCGCAGACTCAAACTAGCCTGCATTTCCTCCACCTCTCCTTCTCCAAATCTGTTCCCTCTCTTCATCTTTCTGAATGACAAGTTTTCCCCCTGTCTAAAAGCAATGCTCTATTTTCCCCTTCTCCCGAGCCCCTTAGCCCATGAGAACTCCCTCCTAATCAATTTGTAATTCTCAAAACTACAGAGTAAATCAGCTGTCTACATTGCCTCCTTCCTTCCTTGCTTGCCAAATCCTTGAAATCTGTGATGTATCCCCCAACCCTCTACTGAAACTAGTCTTCCCAAATTTAATGACAACCTCTGCGTCACGAGACTTAGTGACTCTGCTTAGTCCTCACGCGTCTTGATCTCTGCGGCACGTGGTGCTAGAAGCACGAAGGCCCCACCCTCCACGAGCCCGGGCCCGGGGACATCGGCAGGCCCCTGTGTTTTCCTCAATGTCGTGGCCTGACCTTGAGCGTTCCAAAGGCCTTGGACCTGGGAGAAGATGGACGCTCATTTCCCCCAGGACAAGTGGGCCCTGCTGGCCTATTCTCAACTGTAGGATGGTGACTCCGCTTTTGACCATTTTCAACGACGAGGCGAATTTTTTCTTAGCTTCCTCTACACTGTCATATCCACATTTGCCTTTGCCTACTTCTCCACTTCCTCCTTCTGCCTCCTTCTCGAGCCTTTCCCTTTCCGTTGTCTGTGCCGGAAACATAGCCACCCATCCCCCTCAATGCTCTGCCTCATTTGTTGGTTCCGGGAACACTCACAACTGCGGCCATTGCTTTTACACACGCAGCCTCCAAACCCAATGCAGGGCATCAGCCGAGCCTCTGGGGGACCACACTGACACCTCCAAACCGCTGCGGTGTGTTCCCAGCTAGTCCTGGCGCGTGGAATTTGCAGCCTCCTGGCATTCCGTGATCGAAGCCTCGTCTCTGATCTCATCCTGGCTCTCGCGGCCCATCATCATCAGGACTGACTGGGCCTCCCTTTGCAAAGACTCCAGCAGGTGTCCGTCGTGTTGATTCCTGCTGCCAGGCCCTGGTATAAGCCCTTGCTCCCTCCGGGCTAGACTGTGCCAATACCGTTTCATACTGTGCCAATACCGTTTCATACTGCCTCCTGGATCCGGTGGCTTCCATCTTCGGTTCGTCTAATGCATTGCTGTCAAGTAACTTTCCTACAGCATACCTTTTCATGGTTCTTCAGTGGCTCACAAGGAAAGGTTACTGAAGGCCATTCTCCTTTGCTGACTTAAGACTCCCTACCCTGTGTGCCCTATGCACTAGCTGAAATGGTCTACTCGCTGCGGGCTAATTACACATTTTTATGTCCCTAGAACTTTTTTTCAATGCGTTCTCCCTATGTGCAAGGCCTTGACCCTGGAGATGTGCACTGTAAAATCTAGATGTCATTGTAAGTCCTAACTCAAATGCCATCTACTACGAGAATCATTCCTGGCTCCCTGTTCACCTCTGCTTTTGGATTTATTCTTGGAAAAAATGCATAAAGTTCTCCCTGAACTTAAATCCTACTTCCATTTTTATCTCTCATACTCAGCTACAGCTTTGAGAGTCAAACAGCTATTAGGCATTTAAGAATAAATCAATGGAATTGGGAAGATTGGAATGAAAAGGAAGATAGTGAGAGAGGGAGAGGGAGAAAAGGGAGAGGAAGAACTGTAAGAAAAGAAGAGGGAAAAGAAGGGGTTTTGAGAGGAAGGAGGAAGAAAGAAGAGAAAACAAGGAGACAGACAGGAGAAGAATAAATTTGAGAAGGAGGGGAAAAGGGACCACAATAGTGGAGCAGGCTGATGATCAGTAGAAGGATCAAGATGACTGTCACCATATAAAAAGATATATTTTATAGCTACTTAATTTGATACAGTATGGCTATAAACCAGAAATAGAACAGACTTGTGAATACATAAGTAACACAATTCATGATAGATTTGGCAATGCAGATTAATGGAGAAACCTTCTGAGGCAACTGATTAGCCATAGGGAAAAGAATCCAATTGTATTACTATCTCATACCATACGCAAATGTTAATGCCATAATTTGAAGATCTAAATGCAAAAAGAAAATTTTAAACTTTTGGATAAACAAATAGGAGAATAGCTTTCTTGTTTTAGGATACAGAAGGACTTTGTAAACAAGATTCAGATAGCATCATCCATTCAGGAAAAACATTTATACATTTCATTATCTCAAAAGCAAAAACTTCTGTTCATCGAAAGATACGTTAAGAATGAAAAGATAAGCCATCAACTTGGAGCATATACTTGCAACATATACGACCAATATAGAATCAGTATCCAAATACACATAATTAGCGTCCTATGAAATGCTAAAAAAAGAAAAATAATAAAAGAGTTGAGCAGATCTTATATAGTACTGTATGAAAAATAAACGTCTGATAAACATGTGAGAGGATATTTAGCCTCATTCCTAATAAGGAAAACAAAAATTAAAGGTATTAAGACAACGAGCCAGTGAGGAGCCAGGAGAACTCTAACCCACTGGGGCGGGGGGCATAGCTTGTCATGACCACTTTGGCAAACACTTAGTTTTAAATGTGCAAATTTGAAGACATGCATGCTTTATGACATACTGATATAATAGACGCTTAAGAAATTCTTACATAATTATAAAATAAATGAAAATGAATGAATGACAGCTATAGGCATGAAAGAGGGGGGAAAAAAAGCAACCATAGACAAGTACATCCAGAATCATTTCACTATCATAAAGGCCAAAACCGGGTAAAAGTAAACAATATACAATTTATGAACTAGATATATGTACGTGTGCACCCATGTATACACATCTATACTCTACAAATAAAAACAAGCTAAAGATACAGCCGTCAGCACACACATGTGGACAGGGAAGAGGAGTGTACAACAGATAAAATCATGCAGGCGCATCAAAGCTCCAATTAATATTCTACTCTTTAATCTGGATGCTGGGTAACGAGTGTTTATGCCCTCATTTGTTTACATTATATATTTAGACTGTGTATATGTGTGTAAATACAAATATACGGTCATACATCACTTAACAGCAGGGCTATGTTCTAAGAAATGCATTGTCAGACTATTTTGTCATTGTGGGAACATTGGAGAAGGTACTTTCGCAAACCCAGATACGAGTAGCCTCCTACCCACCTAGGCTCTGTTACGGAGCCTGTCACTCCCAGGCTACGAGCCTGCCCAGCACGTTACTGTAGCGGATACTGTAGGCAGCTGCAACGTAATGGCAACTATCTGTGTATCTAAACATAGAGAAGATACAGTAAAAATATGGTATCTGGATCTTTTTTGGACCAGCATTGCATATGCAGTCTGTTCTTGACCGAGATGTCACCATATAGCATGTGTCTGTGTAAATATAAGAGAGAGTAGAAGAATTATTTTGAAGCTATCATTAGAATATTTAAATAGGAAATTTGGAGCTTTTGAAGAGTTTTGATTATAAAAGAAAACGTAAACTCGGTGCAACCAGGGAAAGTGATGACATTGGGAGAGGACTCAGGGGGAAAAAAAAATGAGGAAGAACAGATTTGTCCAGGAGCATTGCAGGTCTTGAAGGACAGAACTGCTGGCTTAATTGCTTGGAACACGACACCAGAGCATGCTGCTACCTGTGAGAGAGGCCTGAGGGTAAAGAAAGGAGAGAGGGGAGAGGAGAGACGGGGACCAAGAGTGGCAGCTGAGTGTGCACAGAAAACTCATGGCCACGAGGAGGGAGGAAAACGTAAGTGCACCATCTATGCAACTAAGAGGCAGAGTGGAAAATGTGGATTTATAAGCTATATCCAAATACTAATACCTGCCAGCCAAAAATATAAGAAAGTTTAAATGAATTTTCACATACATGGGCATAAAACGTTTTATTAGGGAACATTCTACTAAGAACAAAGTATATTTCCTCATGTCCTGACTTTTACAATGTTCTTCCACAACTCGATGGCCCATCCCAATACTCAAAAAGGAAACTGCACAGGATCTATACAAAAATATTATTAGTACCTCCTAAAAGAGGAAGGAATGGCAAAATAAAGTGGTTGCTAAGCACAGATGTAAAAGATATCACCACCAGGAAATAGATGGAGACCATGACCCAAATCACTATCCAAGAACTCAAATGGGTCTTTGAAAATGTCTATTAAAACTAGTGTGAAAGTAGAGCTATTTATATACAAGGCTTCAAAGAAGAAAATAAAATTTAAATAAAATTCTATTGAATTGCCAAAATTCAGAAAGTAAATGACAGGGGGGAAATAAAGCCATGAAGAAGAAAAATGAAAGAGAAGTTGAAAATTAAATTAGAAATACAGAGGAAAATTTTAAGAGAAGAAAAATAAAAGTTAAGAAAAATCTGTATTTTTAAATATTTTAAATAACAGGAAAAATTATAATTATAGAAAACAGACAATGGGATTGAATATGCACAAAAGTGTGGTTAATAAATAGGAAAGTGGAGGAAAGTGAATATGCAAGTATATTTTTTTGCGATCATGGAAGACGAATCTGTGGATTTCAAGGAGGTGCCGTGCGTGGTAAAACAGTTGGCAAAGATGGACACCAACTGCTGCTGCCTCCTCACTTCCAGGGGTGGAGTGAGGCCGGGCGCGGTGGCTCAGGCCTGTGATCCTAGCACTCTGGGAGGCCGAG